AAACATGCACTTTCGTGTGCCGCTTTTGGTTGCCCATTTCAGTGAACAATCGGAGGAAACCAGGAGAGGTTGAAATTAGGACTGGAAAGAAAATAGAAAAGTTCAGGGGACTAATGATACAAAGAAATTGACAAGATGCATGAACGCCACTGTTTACGACACTAAGTGTCTCTAACCATCGGGTACGACCATCCCGAGGTCCCCCAGCCAGGGAATCTAACGGGGGACCTGTGACCCAGTCTCCTGGTTAGTTAGGGTTTTGATACCCTCATGCCAGGTCTGAGCTTGATCACCCTCGGGCTTTCTTCCATCCACTGTGTGCCTCAGCAAATATCGCTCGCCGTGGTAACCTATCNGGGTAACGCCTCCTCACTTGGTGAGCTTTGTGTTACTGAAACGCAGACCGAATCTTGTCTGTTTTATTGCAGCGTGTGACTGGAACAGGTGCACAGCGCAGTGCTTAGCTCAGTTCATAAAAGGGTATGGGGAGGAAGCACCAGTATCTAATGGTTTCTCGGAACGTTTCATTTAGATAAAAAATTGCACGACACACGCACAGGTTGGTGGGCTACCCGTGCAAGACATACGATTGTCAATGCGGTTGTGGACGTAGGAGCGGGATAGCTAGTTAATGAATACGGCTTTCAAATGATTTATCGCGTATCTTTTATAGGGCTGTTAGTCAAGGTACTTGAGTAACAAACATGGGAAGCGGCTATCCGCCGGATCGGTAAACCACCGCTAGCAGTTCACTTAAAAGAGTTGGCTCAAAAACCCTGATTCCAAACCAACCAAGTGGAAGCGTACGAATCACACTCACTCATACCTTGCTGGTTGTGGCAGTGGTCACCGGCTCGATTGGACAGCTTTGATATTACAGATCAATGGGATTATTTGTAAGATAACTGAGAATAAATTGCAGGTTAGGCTACCTATCAGTGAACTATCACAACCATTACTTGTATGCACACCAAACGTCAGATTTTCGTTCCTTGGATATCTGCAGACAGACGGGGTCACCATAGGTAGTCCGTTGGGACCGATTCTTGCAGATATCTTCCTTGACCAACTAAACTCTCCAAAATGATGATGTTCGTGCATGTGGGAGCGGAGACAATAATTCCGCAAATTTAGGGGACAGTGTGTGCGTGGAATACCTTTGTCTCATGGACTATATAAGCTTTGCTTCTCAAGTAGATTCCGCCATCTCGTGGCAGAAGTGTTCACAATAAAGTGGAAGGGTAAAAGTGAATACCCGGCGCTTTCCACCGGTTTGAATGATCATTGCTACCAATGATCAGTGTCGAGAAGTAACTTTAAAGAGTCATTCCAAACCACGCACGCTTACTGTAAAAAGCGCCAAGCCAGGTCGGACTCCAAAGTTCATCTCTGGAGTTGACCACCATGACGCTCACAGGCAAGTGCGCGGCGTAATGGTACTCTGGGCACGCTGGATGGTTGGCCACATCTGAAAGACGTATGAACTGATCTCTCAGTCGCACCAATTTCCACAGGATAGTGGACTCCCTACTCAGCTTATCTGCTTGTGAGTTAGATTCGTTTATCAAAGGCTCCGAATAGTATCTCCGGGGAAACTCCTCTATTTCGGCCTGGGCAACTGGGTAGTACGAGGCCCGCAATCTAACCAAGAACGTTTATACTCACGCAAAGCTTCCTTCTCTCAAAATCTACACACAGTACTTCCACTTACCTCCCCCACCACAACATTTCCTCTATGCCTGTGAGCAATTCTTCTCCTCTTGTTAAGTATAAAGATGATATAATATTTGGACTGCCCTACCCCAACTCATCATTTCAAACCACTCTACAAGAAGACGTGTGAGAAAAAGTTGATTGGTCTCAACAATGGAACCTCCGCACAAACTCCCAAAAATGTAATGACGTAACTTTTTTCCTTTTTGAAAGGGCAAAAGTATGGTGAATTGTTAAATGCCAGCCCGCCTTTATCTAGCCTGTGACCAGATGGAACGACAACCGTCTGTCAAATACCTTGGCGTTATTTTCAACCGTAACCTCACCTGGTCTGATCACGTTAATGACGTGGCTCATGTTTTATGTTTTATCTCTTAAATCACTTTTCAACCCAAACCATCTCGTTTTGCCTCACTGGCTTTATGGGTCCCCTGTTATCATCCCTGGTCTTTTTAACAAAGACCTCGAACACAATTCCCGATCACTCAAATTTCTATCAGTTTGTAGTCTCATACCATGGGAACATCTGGTACAGTACGTAGTGACACACATCACCTCAAGTCCTGTAAAACATTCTCTAACAAGATTTGATCTAATATCTCTCATCCTCTTTATTCCGCCCTTAGTCAGTGCCTTTCTCACTCATCCACCCGTTCCAATCACAAACTCATCAAGACAAGCACTAAAGCTTACAGGCGTTTAACAAACCGTGAACTCGTAGCAGGAAATCTGCGCAAAACGCTAAACTAAATCAATCAATAACACCCGAGTATGCCACATTGATTTCTGATGTTGATGCCCTCTTTCACGCCCTTTACTTGCTGTATTATATTGTTTGTTTTTTTCACTTTTTGTTGACACACTGTGGTTATGTGGTTCCTGAGTATCCACCTCTCGAAGTGTATAAAGCCATTCCTTGACCTTGACACAGCAATTCAACCTATCCACCCCCATTTTACCGCTGTATTTCGAATCATTCCACTGGCGTAGGTTCATGTTGTAACTTGTCGCTATCCCCTTCAACATCTGCCTCACACCAGTGTCGTGTCACTCAGGGTCTACCATTTCATTCTTCTGATCACGCATTGCGTTCAAGGTGAAAACTTTAATGCGTGTAGGAAAACAAACAGGTTCGGCTCATACGCCTCAAAGTCTAGAGGTTGATACAGATTGGTTCTCGGAACCAGACCCTCAGGATTTGAGCCCAACAATCCGATTAACGTCTCCATCTGACCAAAACGAAGCGTTTCATCTGTGTGTTTTAGGAGGCTTCTGTCACATCAGTGTCTGGTCAATGAAGCACAGATATTGCCTTACGCGCCAGGGACAAAGCTACTCGATTGAATGGACTCTTGCCAGACAGCCGGATACACTTACACAAAACGTGACCCGGATTTAATCCAACGGAGTTTCTAGTACAGCTCACACAACTAAGAAGGATATTGTGATTATGGTCGCTGGTCTTACAGTCGTCCGCTGAGGCTCATCTCGGTGGCTATCATGGCCTTGTTCGCTGTCATTCCAGTTAAACGGAATAGACTCCTCAGCGTGTGCTCAGAACACAATCTGTTTGTTTCTTGTCTTCACAAACGCCCGACACTCGAAGCTTAGCCCATCTTCAGCACGGACGTGGACTCAGATTGATCATACAACTCTTAGCTATAGATAGAGAGAATGTGTGAAAGAATGCCGCTCGTATTGGTCTACCCGCTTGGACTCCGAGTTCGCACTGATTTGTGCCAAGTAGTCTATGCGATTTGATGGGAGCAAAAACCGAGATACAAACAGGCTTGACGTCGCCAAGCTTTCCGACCCGACACTATACTGGTTGACCACCAAAAC